TCTCTCACACACACACACACACAAACACTCTCTCTCTCCCTCACACACACACACACACTCTCTCTCTCTCTCTCTTTCACACACACACACGCACACACACAAACACTCTCTCTCTCACACAGACACACACACACACACACACACACTCTCTCTCTCTCTCTCTCTCTCTCACACACACACACACTCTCTCTCTCTCTCTCTCTCTCTCACACACACACACACTCTCTCTCTCTCTCTCTCTCTCTCACACACACACACACTCTCTCTCTCTCTCTCTCTCTCTCACACACACACACAAACTCTCTCTCTCACACACACACACACGCACACACACAAACACTCTCTCCTACCACCCCACGGCCTCAGTGGCACTGCAAAAGACAAACTCAATCAGACAGATGTGCGACTAAATGAGAGCATGCAAAATTACAGAAGGATAAGGGTAAATTTATGTCCACGCATTCTGTGAGACGACTGAAAGCTAATCTGAGACACTCACAAAGTCCATCCATAGTAAAGAGACCCACAATCTGATAAGTTCTCTCTCTCTCACACTCTCACACACACAACACAACACACACACACACACACACACACACACTCTCTCTCTCTCTCTCACACACACACACACACACACACTCTCTCTCTCTCTCTCTCTCTCTCTCTCTCTCTCTCACACACACACACACACACAAACACAAACACTCTCTCTCACACACACACACGCACACACACAGTTACAGTCCATCGCTCTCTTCTAACCCTCATCACTAGTCTCTTATTTGGGTCAGAGTAAATTACTAAAGTGAAATACTTCAGTAAAACAGAACAATAGCATTGCTAGTAAAACCAAACATTAGAGTGTAGAGTTTTTAGCTTTCACATACAGCTGAATGTGACATAAATGCACTGAAATCAGATTGAGTGAACGCTGCTCCATCATAATTATTTCTCTTTCATTTTATGATTTTGAGGGTCATTAAAGTACAACTCTAGTATCTCAGACTTATGGATATTCCACAAGTGCATGAATAAATCATCTTTGGTGCTTTTGATCACAGAGTGTGTTTGCTGTGGAGCGAGTGACGAATTTGAATTGAGATTATGTTTATATAACTACATCTCAATCACTCTGAGACATATTTGGGCCCGTGGTTGAGATGCACTGTTGTTGATGAGTAAATGAAATGATCTGCCTGTGTTTGTCTGTGTGTAGTTCACTGCAGGAGCAGAAGGAGGATCTGCGCAGACATCTCGGCTGCACCACACACAAACTGCAGCAGCTGCAGAGCGAGTTCGAGTCGACGCGTCAGTATCTGGAGACGGAGCTGCGACGAGCTCAAGACCAACTCGACAAATTCACTGAGAGACTGCGCAGGTCCGAGAAACACAGTCACTGAATGAAGCAGCTGAGAATTAAATATTGTGTCTGAATGAATTGCTTAAAGTCACCGTACAGATTTACAGTCACACACAATGATCTGAAACTTACTAGTCAAGTCACACTTATTTCAGCACTTTATGCAATACAGATTCAAAGCAGCTTCACAGAAATAACAAGGAAATGAGCAGAATCAATGATGGGAACTCAACAATGGAGTCAAAAAAAAAAGATTCCAGAAACATTCGATCCCACAATAAACTCATGACAGATGTGTGTGTGTGTGTGTGTGTGTGTGTGTGTGTGTGTGTGTGTGTGACTTCATCATCATCATCTTCATCATCTCTCCTGCAGGATTCAGAGCAGCTATGCAGCTCTTCAGAGAATCAACCAGGACATGGAGGAGAAAATCCACCGAATGGTAAGAGAAAATTCATTAAAAATTTACTTCAAAAATGTCCAAAGAGTGACTTAAGCTCTGACAAATGTTCTTTCGTTGCCTCATTATTGCTTGATGATAAAACTCGTATCCCTTTGTTTATATCTCAAACGCTGACGATGCTTTATCATAAATAATCACAGTAACTCTTCAGAGACAAACGCTGAACAGCAGCAGATCCTCACTGTCCTCGGATCACACAGAACGACTCTTATACCAGACCTTCTTCAGCCTCAGTGTGTTTATCGCTTATTGAGAGCGACTGACGTGTTGAAGCACTGTCAGCAGTTATATGAAGAATTTTGAAAGCGTCGTCTCTTGTTTAGTGATCAACAAGTGCTGCTCTCTGAACAAATGAACAGCAGAAATGAAGGTGAAGATAAAGAGACACAGATCAATAACTGCACAAGATTCTCTCTCTCAGAGCGATTACAGGATCAGAGCCGGAGCGCAGTGATTGTCCTGGAATGAAAGCACGAGTCTGAGCTGCGGATCAGTGGCGTCTGATGATCTTAAATCCCATTAAAGTTGGAAGCCATTTACAAAATCTAAACATCATCTTAAACACAATGATTTTGTGTGGTTTCAGCTCTGATTACTATTACATTCTGAGTGAGAAATCCAGCTCTGAGTGAGTAGACATAACTGGAATGTATTCTTTTAGTCAGTTTGAATCGGTG